GGCTGTGTTCCAGTAAAATTTAACCAGAGCGCAGTGGGCTGGAGCCAGCCTGCGGGCTGTAGTAGGGCTAGATGAAGTCCTACAGGCATCCCAGAGTTCGTCTTTCTCAATGTCTGTAAAATGACAATGTTGACACATCCTCAGATTTGTCTTACATTTGTGTCCGTGCAGTGGGTGCCGAGTGTGAGTGTGTCAGGCATGCTGCAGCACCTTCTGTGCATGCTCTTCATCGTTTCAGAGGCTCTCTGAGGAGTTTTAAATGAATGCCACTTTGCTGCGAGGTAACTGAGCTCAGAGCCCATTGCCTTCTCACTGTGTCTGTGGTTCTTGTGAGAACCGCACAGCAGGAGGTGGGGCCCCTTATACTGGGGATTGAACCCAGGACTCTGCACTGAGCTACATCCCCAGCCCTTTTTATTTTTAATTTTGAGACAGGGTCTTGCTAAGTCCCTTGTGATGCTGCAGCCTATGCCTCCCAGAGTGTTGGGCTTGCTGCTGTGCACCACCACGCCCAGCTGCATCTGATGCCCTTTGTGTGTCAACAAGATGTACAGAGTTGTACATAAAAGACCGGTCATATATGTAGTTCATGCTGTCCTCAGACTCACAGCGATCCTCCTGCCTCAGCCACCCAAGTGCCGGGATCACTGGCGTGTGCCACCACATCGGGAGGGTAGAAGACAGAGAACCCTCTGAGTTTTCCCTTGGTCCGTGGCAGGCCTGGTCCTAGCCCCTCCCACCTCTCGACCTGGAGCCTGGCACCCCTCCAGCTGTGCGCACACACAAGGGCTGTGGTTGGCTTTTCTTCCTGTCCATGCTGTGACCCAGCAGCAGGCTCTGCAGACAAGTATGGAGGATCCAACATGTGCAGCGTGTAGTCTCAAATGAAAACCTGGCCTAGACAGCCAGGCGAGGGGGCACACGCCTGTAATCCCAGCATTCGGGAGGCTGAGGCAGGAAGATGCTGTGAGTTCAAGACCAGCCTGGACTACATAGTGAGTTCCAGGTCAGTCTCAACTACACAGTGAGACCCTGTCTCAAAAAAAAAAAAAAACAAACAAAAAAAACCCTGGACTAGAGCTGGGGGTCGTGGGCATGTCTGTAACCCCAGCGAGGAGGGAGGCTAAGGCAGGAGGATCGCAAATCTGAGTATCGCCTGGGCAACTTAGCCAGATCCTGTCAATAAATAAATAAATAAATAATGGGCGAACCCTGTAGCTCAGTGGTAAAGGCCTCCTGTGTTTGATCCCCAGTCACCAAAAAAATCGTAATTAACTTTAGGATTTGGACTTTAACAGTTTGTGAAAATCTAGTTATGCATGGAGACAACTTTGGGCTGTTTAAAAGAACTTGATTTTATGACCTTATAGCAAACAGACTTGTTTAATTTTATGCGAATTTCTTTAGTGCTTAGTAAAGGTTTGTTAGGTTTGTTTCTGTTCCCTGTGAGGCACGTGAAGTGCTTGAAAATTAAAATATATGACATTTGTGGAGTGAGTTTTAAAATTTCAGGGAATTTAATTAGTAATACTTTTTTCCTCTTTGTGGTACTGGGAATATAGCACTGAGCCACATCCCCAGCACTTTTAAAACTCTTTAAAGAGTGAAAGTTCAAGCCCACCACTGGCAACCGAGTTAAGACCCTGTCCCAAAATAAAAAATAAAGAAGATCTGGGGCTGAGGCTCAGTGCAGAAGCCTTGGGTTCATCCCTAACAAGATATGAACAAATGAAAATCCCTTAACAACAAAAACCCACCAAAAAACCAACCAACTGACCAAGAATAATTATTTTAGGGCAAATAATGATTTTTTTAAGCCTCAGCCTTAAACAAATGAAAAATCAAAATATGCCTCCCAAAAATTAAGAAATGAATTAAGTTTATGATGAGGTATGATCTGGGCACGGTGGGGCACAACTATAATCCTAAAACTCCAGAGGCTAAGGCAGGAGAGTCACAAGTTCAAGCCCAACCTGGGCAACTTAGTAAGACTTTGTGTCAAAAGAAAAAAATAAAGGTCTGGGATGTAACTCAGCGAGTGGGATTCTGGGTTCAGTCCCCAAAAACAAAAGAAAAGGAAATCTGGTGTGAAAAACTAAAAGTGTAAATAAGATACAAATTGTATAACTGACAATGTTAAATAGGAAGAAAAGGGCCAAAGGTGTAGGGGAAGTGGGAAAGGGAGAGGAAAGGAAATAAGGGGTAGAAAAAATATGAGAAAAGCAAAAAATGGGAACAAAGTCTTTGTAAATAGGGAAGGGTGGAGGGGGTGAAGGGAGGACAGGGGTATGTGGAAAAAATGAGAATCAAGATCTGTCATATAAAGGCACAAGAGCCCAATGATGAATGTAACTGTACTTTATACTTAAAAGTACCAATAAACTCAATGAAAAGAAAAAAATGAAATATTAATTTGCTTCTAAAATTTAAAAAATAATTTTGCCAATTGCATATTCCTAGAAAAGAAATTATGTAACATTGCAAGAACCTGCTTGGCTCACACCGAAAGCAGGCTTCGTGTGCAGACTTCCTGACCTGGAAGTTCTCATCTGTGTACCGCTCTTGTGCTGTCTGTCCGTCCGTCTCTCTACCTTAGACCCCCGCACAGCTGTGTCTGCTCCCGTTCAGCTCTTCGTACACGAACACAGCTCCACCTCTGAACCATCTTAGCATCTCGCGTCTCGGTCCTTTGTGTTCGCATACAGTTTAGAAGCAACTGCTTTGCTTCTGTTTATCACAGAGTGCAGGGATTTTGACATGGAATCGGGGGTCAGTGTGGGTGTGGACCTTGGGCCAAGAGATACGGAGGCAGAGAACGGGATGGAAAGGTGGCTGGGGCCTCAGCAGGCCAAGGTCTTGGAAAAGCCATACCCACCACCTCAGCTCAGCAGGAGTTAACAGCCTTTCCTGTTAACCCTAAGTAGTCACATGTCCAGTTTCCGCCTTGTTTTGTTAGGTAGTATTGTAAATTCAATAATGTACAGTAGTGAATATTTCTAAAATGTGTTGTATAGTTCACGTCATAAACACACAGATAATTTCTCCTGGGGTGCTGCCGGGGCCTCCTGTGTGCAGGGCCAGGCTCCACACCCAGCTACCCCTAAAGGTATTTTTGAACTAACGATTTTTTGCCAGCATCTTTCATTGGGAATAAGCGAAACCCAGACTCAGCTGGGCGGATGTTCTCCCTGGTCCAGCAGAGGGCCTTCAAACCTCACAGTTTCAAGAGGAAGGACATTTGTTGCCATGGGCACCGGCTGGCCAGACCTTTGGCGATGTGAGAAAGAAGGACTTTCCAGAGCTGCCTTTTCTGGCCATGCTGCGTGCCAGGCCTGGTTCAGGGCTCTTAACCATCCATGAGGTGGACACTGTGCTTTTTATGGTGAGGAATCAAGGCTCAAAGAGATGAAATGACATTATAAATACCACAAGGTACAAAGTGGCCAATTCTTAAGTGAACCTATATCTGTAACTTAAGTTTTTTAAAGTTTTCTAAGACAGGAACTCACTATGTAGCCCAGGCTGGCCTGGGACTTGTGATCCTCCTGCCTCAGCCTCCCAAGAACTGGGCTTACATAACCTTTTGAGTGTCACAGGGCACAGGAAGCACGTCAGAGGTTGTAAAGGGTATCCCTGCAGCCACTGCCTAGGTACATAATGGCACTGTCACCCACATCCCTGTTGCTGTGGACTGGACGTGTCCTACAGATTCACGGGTCCCAGGCGTCAGACTCCTGGCGGCTGTGCCGCTGCCCCATGTGGACAGCACACGTTTGCAGTGCATGGTGGTCACACTCGTGGCAGGTGCTGGTGCCAGTGCTTGGCGCATCTCGATTCTGTGTCCACCTCTGTGTAACAGCTTGAGCCTCAGCCAAGGCAGGGCTCGGCCGTCACTGGGAGGATGGCAGCTGGCGAGTGATGTCCTGTCCGCTGGCTTGGCTCCTGCAGCCCTGCTCCGGCTGGGTGGTGCTGGCTCAGGCTGTGCTTGTGACAGCTCCATGGCTCGCCGTGTATCCCGGGGTCTGGAGTGGATGGGCTCGGCTGGCTTCTGTGCCAAAGGTCCCCGGCAAGTGGACTACCTCTGTGGACGCTGGTCTGGAGGCTCTGGGTGGGGCAGGGCCCCCAGGCCAAGGGAAGAATCCAGGTCCAGCAGCGTGCACTCACCGTGGTCCCAGGGCCTGGCTTGCACAATGACTGCCGCTCTCAGAAACCCAGAAGGCCACGCGGGCGCTGAGACCCGCCTGTGTGTGGTCCGGCCCTCGGCCTCCACACCTTTTCTTGCACACTCTTAGAGATAGGGGTGCTGTCACCATCAGATGGATGTCGCTGGTCCCTCTGTCAGGTACAGAAATGGCCCAGTCCATAAACATGAGTAAATTCTGTGATCATAGCATTAGCCCAGGTCCAAACCACACCCCACAGGCATGAGGTTGTAGGGTGTTTATTCCCATTGGTCCATCGGGGTAGATGAGTGGGGTGTGGTGGGCATGAAGTCGTCTGCTATCTGATCAGAAATCAGCTCTACACACAGCTGGAAGTAACGTAAGAAGACACGGGACTAGTACTGGAAAAGTGGCTCAGGAGACAGAAATGCGTGCGTGTGGTGTGTGTGGGCACGTGTACGAGGAAAGCCCTGTGGAAGTGGGCATGAAGAGCAGCTGCTGGGCGCAGATCGGGGGTCGAGGCTCGAGGGGAGGCTGTGTCTGAGGATTTGAAGGTCAGGCGAGGCAGGGAAATGTGCCTGCTGACCCAGGGAGCCAGACTTCAATCAGAGGAAAGCCTGGGGCTGGGGATTTAGCTCAGTGATTCCACCACCTGCCTCGCAAGGGCAAGGGCAGTGTCCCGAGTTCGATCCCCAGTACCAAAAAAGAAAAAATCAAGTGAAAGCCTGAGGAGTGAGGGCACTTGTGCCCGTTCTCCTAATACTCCCAACATCTGGGAAATCACCTGGGTCCTTGGAAGAGCGAGTGGCACGCCCAAGTTAACAGGCACATGGCAAGTCAGAAGAGCGGTTCTTTATTCGGTACGCAGCTACCAAAGAGCAACCTGGAAATGCCGCTCCTGCCCTTGAGGTCCCTCCTTGTCCACTCTGGACGCCAACATCCTGCGGCCCCTTTTCTCTCCTGGGTCAAGTCCCAGGCTGCTCTGCAGGGTGGCTCTGTGCCTAGGCAGTGACTGGTGAGCGTGTGTGTGGGAGCGAGCGTGTCCCAGGGGCAAGTGTGTGTGTTGGAGCAGGTGTGCCCTGGTGGAGAGCATGTGCGAGCATGTCCTGGGAGCGAACATGTGTGTGTGAGTGTGCCCTGGAGGTGTGTGTGAGCTAGTGTGTCCGAGGGGTGAGTGTGTGTGTTGGAGCAAGTGTACCCTGGGGGAGAGCATGTGCGAGCGAGCATGTCCCGGGAGCGAACGTGTGTGTGAGTGTGCCCTGGAGGTGTGTGTGTGAGCCAGTGTGTCCAAGGGGTGAGTGTCTGTGTGGGAGCGAGTGTGCCCCAGGGGCAAGTGTGTGTGTGTCTCCGGGTCCAGTGTGTCTGGACCCGAGAGCAAGGCGAGGTTTTGTGCCCAGGGGCGCTGTCCGTTTGAGGACAATGGGGCACCCTGGTCCCTGGGCCTGGGGTCCCGGTGGGTGAGGGGCCCCACCACTGCCCCTGCCATGCCGTGGTCCCATGGTTGCTCACTCAAGTCGGGGTCAGCCCAGGAGGAGGAGCCCTGAGTGCAATGCTGGACTGGTCACTGCTTAACTACAGGTGCCTGTCCTGCCAGGAGGGACGCTGGGGAGGAAGTGGAGACTCAGCCCTGCTCAGTGTTGTGTTTACCCCTTCCCTGGCTGTGGGGACACAGGCGAAGGGCCTACCCGGACCGTGTGCCTCTGTGCCCCTCCCAGGTGGCAGGGGTCTCGGGAGCAGGGCTCAGACAGTGGGGGGCTTGCAGGGCTGTGCTGGTGGAGGGCAGCACCCCACGGTCCATGGCCTGGCCGCCGGCCACAGCTGTGCCTTGGAGGTGGCTGTGTCGGTGCAGCCCAGCCTCAGTCGGCATCCACGGCGAGCTCAAGAGGGCGCTCGGAACGCTTCTCCGTCCTGGACGCAGAGCACAGGAAGGACAGGAAGGCCAGACTCATCAAGGCAGTGGCCGAGAAGAAGGCGAGGAGGCCCACGAAGGCAGGCGGCGGGATGGACAGGCGGACCAGGGTGCTGGCGGCCGGGATCTGGTTGGTGAGGCTCAGCATGTAGCCAAGTGACCAGCCGATGCTGCTGTTGCCCACCTGTGAGGAAGGACAGGGCTCAGCCTAGCAGGGCGTGGCCCAGTGGGACATGGCGCACCCCTCACACCCACAGGCCCCTCGGGGACCTGAGCCGTTAGACCCTCCAGGGGCCACGGAGGACCAGCTCCCTTCAGCACCACGGAGAGGACGGCAGTGTGGCAGCCTAGAGAGGGACTCGTCTCTGAGGACAGGGACCCTGTCCCTGCGGAGGTGACCCTGGCAGCAGCTTTCCACCGGGGCCGTTCCTTCTGGCTTCACATGCCTTCAGTATGTAGAAATTTTGAATTTGCAGTCTTTGTAAGAGAATTGAGCTAACATCAGGCTGTGGCCCTTTCTATCTCAAAGGACGCTCTTTACTGTGGACTATTTTGCCCAACGCTTTAGCTTTTGAAACAAATTGTTCCCAAGCAAGACACTTTCTTTTGGGTAGTATTTACTTGATAAGTAACATTTTTTTCTTACTTTCAAATCCTTATGTCAGACATCCCTGGATTTTATTTTTAAAAATTTGATGATGCCTGTCTTTTTTAACTGATAGGCTCAGGCTGTTCATGATTTTGACATTATTGATACATGTGGCCATTTCTCTAATAAATTTCCATTAGTGTTCTGTTGCTATATTAATCCTTTTTTCCATTCTTGCCTTCAAAATGATATCTGTATGTTCTTTTGACAAGAATTGTGGGCTGCTGTGTCTTGTATGGATGGATTTTTTTGTCTTTTATTTTTCTTTTTAATACTACTTATTTGTACTTTCTATACTTTTGTAATATCTCCTTGGTTTCTCTCATTTGATTATTACTTCCAAACAAATGCTTTCACTGTAATTCTTTGTGTGGCAAAATTTCCAGTCTTTTTAGACCCTGATATTTAAGTACTAACTTGGCTGGACACATTCTTTTTTAACAACTTTCTTTTTGACTGAGAATCTGTCTCACTCAGTATCCCAAGGTGGTCTCAAACTCGTGGTCTTCTGGCCTCAGCCAGCAGAGTGACAGGTGTGCACCACTGTTCCTAGACGGCACGTGGAATTCCTTCCGATTAAAGGAAAAGAACTTTAACCTAGGACCTCTCTTAGGTCCATGGAAGCGCACGTGCTCTCTGAGGCACCTCCTGGCCACGGTCCGTCAGAAGCGGAGCTCAGACAGCTCCCGACACCGCTGTCTCTGCGTCCCCAGACTTCACTGTGCTCTGCTGACAACTCGGTTTACTCGAGTGAACACACACCTGCCTTGTGCAGGATCTAAGGACCGCCAAAGCTGGTGCTGTGCAGTCTGGCTCTAGCTACCTGGACCTACACCCTCTCCTCAAATGAGAAACGCCAGACAGGGCAGGGTGGCCAGACCTTTGCTGGGTGGGGTCTTGCAGGGTTGTGCTGGCTGCAGGTCACTTGAACAACAGTCACATCTTCCACACAGATTTACACACGTGGTGATTATTCATGGCCTGTGTAACAGTGAGATGCACCCAGGGATCCCTGTCTGTCAGTAAACATAGGCCTCTGCCCTCTGAGAGAAGCGAGCATCTTGCTTAATGCAAATCCCTGCTCTCAAGCTATACCCCTACTCTGACATCTGTAAAAGGGGAGCAACTTGTTATTATTGGCTCAAATTAGTTACAGTTGAGGCTTTTCTTTGGATGAGTCTCAGGTCCTTACCACCGTCAGGGTCACCCGGCAAACACTGCCCCCGCTGTCCCTGCCGTGCACTGCCCCTGGGACGAGCGGTCCAGAGACCCTGCCCCTTCGCCTTCTGTCTGGACAGGACCGATGCCCCCCCACGACCCTCTGTCCCTGCGCCCTCTTCTCCCAGAGGGTCGCAAGCGCACAGGGGCCTGGCTGTGTCCAGGAGTGCATGCCGCAAACCCTCCTGCCTCTGCCTCCCCCTCCTGTGCACCCGAGCCTCCTTTCGGAGTCGGGGAGAAAGGAACTTGCGGTTTGACTTACTTCTTTTTCAAAATGGATTTGGGGCCAAGTCTCATGGGTGAATTTGTACCCGTGCACCAGCAGGTGGTAGATGTAGTGCGCAGAGAAGCAGTAGGAGCGGGCGTACACCTCGTTGAACTTGGGGAGCAGGAGAGGGAGCTGCCAAGGAAGTCAGGGCCCCTGAGAGGAGGTGCAGGTGGGTACCCCAAGATGCGCATCCCGGGACCCCGAGGCCAACAGCTGTCCTTAAGGAGATCTCACTGCCCAGGGCTCTGTGATAATTAAGTTGTCCCCGTACAGCGACCCTAATCTCCGATTGGCCAGCGCTGGCTCTGAGCACTGTGCACCGAGCTTTCACAGGAGTGGACGGGGCGTGATGTGCCCCGCAACGCTTCCGTGCTGACCCTGACCCCACTGGAAGACACTGACCTCACTCCAGGCCCGGGAGCAGAAGCTCCAGGTGCTGGCGTTGAAGGCATCCAGCGAGAAGCTCCCCGAGAGGTTGAGGGCACTGGATGTGTAGTAGAAGCCGGCGAAGGCCTACACGCAGCACAGCAGGGGCTAAGGCAGGGGACAGGGAGGTGTCCAGGAGGGGGCAGCATGCGGACCAGGGGGCAGGAGGGACACAGGCCAGGGTGAGCTGTTCACACCATGGCCAGGCCTCTCTGGTGTGTTGATCTCACCACGAATGGCCCTTGGACCTTGGGTTGGTAGACCCCGTTGAAAGAGCAGTCTTCCTGGTTACTACAGGCCCTGAAGTCAAATACGGAGGCCACCTTCTCCCGACACAGCCACGGGTCCCCGGTCCCTTCAAAAGCAACGTTGCGGCGAGGATCGAAAGTGGCTGGCCTCTGCTGGGTGGTGCACAGGCTGTCGAACACCTGGCCCATGGGGATGGTGACACTGTAGCCCCGGAGGTAGCAGGGGTTGGTGACATGGGTGTCAGTGGAAGAATTCTGCAGGCACAGGTGGGAGGCAAGGGGGAATCAGTTACTCCTCAGGACCCCAGGCCAGCAGAGCCCCGAAAGTGTCACTCTGCATCACGGTGTCTGCGACGGCACTGGGTGGACTGCATGGGCAGGGCAGGGAGGGCAGTGGGACACCTGTGTCTGGGTCTGACAGCCCTCAGGAGTAGTTCCCGTTAGCTTGCTTTGGTTATAAGAAAACTGGCATCGTTAGATTAATGTATCATGTTGAATAGACTATCCCGTCTAGTAAAATAAACCAAAAGGTACAAATAAACGTAGTATGAAAAAGAAGTCTCCTTCCTGCTCTCATGCAGCCATGCTCTGGAAGCCATCACCCTTGGGGCCCTTGCCTGGGTCCAACTGCGAATGTGTCTCCTCCTCCCTTCTTTTAAACCACACACGCCAGGGCCTTAGGCGCGCCCTTCGCCCTTTCATGTTTTCCTTAGAAATGTGTCTTCTGACCGACACGCGGCACGGGCACCACAGTGCTGCCAGGGAGGCCATGCGTGAGCTCTGCGCCTCTCTAGCAGCCACTGCCACTGCTCTGTCTGTGCCAGGGGTTCTCAAACTTCTCAGGGTTCTTTCCCAACTAGCTGAAAACAGTCTGCGTCCATTTCCAATCCCTGGTCACAATTCATCTACAGGATGTGCAGGGCTCGGGAACCTACCCTGGACTCCCCACTCAGGTTCACCGGACGTGGTCAACCGGGGAGAGAGAGGAATAGGAGGGTGAGGAGCAGAGCACGGGACCAGGAGTCCTCGGCCGGCCTCACGACCCTCGACCCCCTTCCGGAGGGAGTGGGAGGAGAAGCGCCAGTGTCCCCATGGTACCTGCAGGAGCAATGCCAGGAACCTCTTCTCGGCCTCGTTGCGGCCGTAGCACTGGAAGCTGTGTGTGTAGAGCGCGTAGGTGTAGCCGTACAGAGTCACCTGCACGCCGTCGCTGCTGTTCAGCGCTCCCACATCCTTGGCCACGAAAGCGATCTGCGTGGAGGCGCCACCCAGGTCCAGGGCGCCAGTGGTGTCCACCCCATGCGGGTGCGCCCACATGTGCCACAGGTCCTTCTGCGGGGACAGGCTGTGAGGGGCCGCCCCACCCACACCCAGGCTCACCACCGCCTGCGTCCTGCAGCCAGGAGAGCAGGGCAGCATCAGGGACAGCAGGGCCAGGAGCTGGCATGAAGCAGGGGCCAGGCCCCGAGCGGCCCTGGGTGCTGCTGGCTGTGACCACGCAGCACGATGCCAGTTCCTCCAGTGCTGAGCGTGCGGGAGGATGCAGGGAGCCCACAGTGGGCTTCTGTGTGACATCTTCCCATTCATTTAAAATTTTAAAATACATATAAGGGGCACACAAAGGGCCTTGAGTAGGATATGGCCCAACGCCCTTGCTTTTGTACTCTGTGTGGCTTCACTGTGTCCCCAGGAGCAGGGAGAATGGGGTCTGCTATGGGTACACTGCAGAGGGGACACAGGCGGCTCCCTCTCCACCTGGACTTGGAGGCCATGCCGAGTGTCTGGATGGCAGAAGCCTTGTGGAAGGCAGTGCGAGGTCAGTCCTCCTCCTGATCCCTGCAGTGCCGCTGTTCCCCCACACTCGGCCCTGTTTACCGCCCGGCCTCCCACTGCAGGAAGCCACGACCCCAAGAGCCCCATGCGCTCCAGGCGAGGGAGCCCCATCTCTCCTCTTCTTGAGCCCTGGAGAGGGGAAGCCACACACCTCCAGGAAGTTGCCCTTAAGGTAATTGGCTGTGATCCACCCGTACACCCCTTCCTCTTGACCGGAAATGATCTGAGCGCCCCTGAAATCGAAGGGCTGGGACTTGAAGTAGCTCTGGATGCTGGCAAGGACTTCATCAGCTGCCGTTTTGTTCTGCAACCTATGTGAGGCACAGGACACCAAAGGCTGAGTCATGACAACACTGTGGTCAGAGTCTCCCTGAGAAGCAGGAAGCCCCCACCCCCCGGCTCAGGACAATCTTCCAGAAGTGCGCACAGCCCGGCGCCACACCTGTTCTGCAAGTTGAAGCTCCCCGGGCATCCGTGGAGACCGGGCACTTGTTACCTGTCAGACTGTCAGGGTGTAAATAGCTTTCCATAAAAGTACAACTTGTGCTCCCCGCTCCCCGTTCCCGTTTCGTTCTCCAGCCATCAGATAACCAGGGCTTCCTCCTGCATCGAACTGCACTGTCAAAGACCAGCAGAGCCCAGGAGACTGGCGAAGCAGAGGGTGGCAGAAGGTGGCAGAAGGTAGCTCCTGGGCACACAACCAAGCAGCTGCCACTCGCTCTGGGAGGGGACACGAGGGTCCTCAGGGATGTCCCTGCACTGAAAACCATCAGTGCTCTGACCCACAGTTCTACCATCCGCCACAGCACAGCATTGTCATGGCACGCTGCCCACTGCTCAGGAGGCAATTTCCCCCTTGTGGGCTAGGAAGGGGCTCAGGAAGGACAGCAGGCAGCGGGCATGAGCAGGGAGCCTCCAAGGAGGAGCCCCCGCCAGCTGTGGGTCCGGATTCTCCCAGGACCGCATTAGGCACCTAGTGGTTCATCTCTTTGCGCTGCCTTTGTGCCCGGACACAGGAGCTTGGCATGGCTGGTGCTGAGCAGGTGCCTGGGACAGGCTGGGTGCACACGGCCTTCCAGTGAGAGCCTTCATCCCAGCCCGGGGCAGCTCTGCCCTGCGAGAGTACAGAGGATGTTCCTTCTGGACCTGCTTTTCTTTTATTTCAAGGTCAAGGAATATTCAGTAAAGGGAAGAGTGTGTGTGTGCGTGTGTGCGTGTGACGGACAGAAGCAACGCTGCTGGGTGAAAGCCCTGACGGAAGGGCACAGCCCACGACAGCTCCACCCCACAGCACTTCCTGTCGCTCTCCAGCGGCTCCGGGGACACAGTGCCTGTGGTGTGCATGGCACAGGCCACACAGCCAGGGCTGCACTCACTGTTTCCACAGGGCTGGAGATGGCCTCTGTTTTCTGAGGTGAACGGACCCCAGGAGCAGACGCTCTCACCTCCCCTTTTCCAGAATTCTCGGGAAAATCACCGAAGGAGAGGAATGGGTTTAGACCTGCTTCATTATGAGCACTAAAACAGACCAAACATGAGCCAACGTGTCCCCAGTGTGAACGCCTAGCTGCATGGCGGGACGTGCCCTCCTCATGGCTGTTCCCAGGGGCAGCCGCTTCCTGGCTGGGCCCCTGCCTGGCTGTTCAGCCACGGCTCCAGGGCGCCACGCAGCCCTCACCTGAGCAGGCGCATCCCAGCCGTGGCTCCGAGGTAGACTCGCGTGGACCCGTGCAGGTGCGCTGGGACCTGCTGCTGCACTTTCTGCATGCAGTTCTCGAAGGCCCTGGGGGCGGCCTGGGGGTTGCTCCAGTAGCTGGAGATCCCGGAGCCTGCAGAGCAAGAGGTCAGCATTGGCACAGGGCCTAGGACGCCTCCAAAGTGAAAGCGGCTCTGGGACCCCCCCGCGTCAGCGCCAACCCGGAAAATCTTTGACGGAGAGTTCACAGCCAGAGTTTCATGATGGCATCAAGAATTAGAAACAATTTCCTTTTCATTCCTTGATTGACACAAAATATTTGTGCACATTTCTGAGGTAGTACTTGTGTTTTGTTTTGCATGCATGTGGGGTGGTGGGCAAATCGAGGTGATTAGTGTCCCTGCCACCTCACCTCTCCTCATTTCTCCACGGTTAGTGCACCCAAGCCCTCTCCTGTTTTCAGACCTGTAAAGTGCCGTTGTTAAGCACACCCACCTACTGTGCCGCAGGACGCCGAACTTATCCTTCTAACAACCTCTGAATTCCCTCCTGCCCCCATCCCTGGCAGCCGCTGTCCTACGCTCGAGTGCAAGAGGGTCCCTGCACGCAGCACCAGCTTTCCTGTGCCAGGCTCAGTCACAGTCCCTTTCATACAGGTCCATGTCCACTGCTGCAGATGACCAGGTCCCACACTCGCCGGGCAGAACAGTGCCCGGACCGGCGCATGTGGTTTCTCACCCAGTCAGTCAGGTGGATCCATATCCTAGCCGCAGGGAACAACAGCTGTGGCTCACAGCCTCTGCAGGCCCCTCACCCCCGATTTATGTGCATCAGAACCCCAACAATTCTACACATTGCAACCTCAAGTCTCTTTTAACCTGTTGGCTCTTTCCTTCCATTCCGTTTTCCTGAGAATTATCTTTAAAATTCCCTGCAGTTTCCCAGTTTGGAATTTGCTGATTGTGCCCACAGCCCACTTGACATCTCTCTGGGTCCCTCGTATTTCCGACAAACTGTTAATTAAACACAGAGGCTTGATCTGATTTGGTTTGAAAGTTTCCGGAAGGAAAACTACAAGGATGAGTTCTGGGACAACAGAGCCCTCTGGAAAGGCATCACCAAGTGCCATCAGCTGCACACCTTCCTGGGCCACCTGAGAAAGCCCATCCGAGCACAGTGAAAGCCCCCCGGCCTCCCATGCACTGGCTGAGGCTGCAGCCGTGGTCACTCGTGTCTCCCTCCTCCCTCCGTCCCTGCTCCGGCCCAGTGTGTCCTTGTCTGTCCCTGGAAACGCTGAGCAGCCAGAACCCTTGCCTCTCCCCGACCACGACTTCTGCTGCACACAGCCATCCAGAGATGTCTGCACGGCGCCCTCCTGTCCTGGTGTCTGCTAACTGTCACCCGCTCTGTCCTGTCTGAAGCAGCACTTCCGTCTAGCCTCACCTTGCCGCCACCCCTTCCCTGGACCACTTGGTTTCCTCTCCCTCCCTCCCTGGAATGTTTAATGTATTGTTTGTTTGTTTTTTGAGATAGGGTCTTGCTAGGTAGTCCAGCCTGGCCTTGAACTCACTATGTAGCCGAGCCTGGCCTCGACTCCTGGTGATCCTCCTGCCTCGGCCTCCAGTGTTCTGGGATGACAAACCTGTGCCACCATGCCCAGCTGGAATGTAAATTCCTTTTTTTTTTGGTATTGGGGATCAAACTCAGGACCTTGTGCTTGCAAGGAGGTGGGACACACTGAGCTAAATCCCTGGCCTGCATGGAGTATAAATTCTTTAAAACATGTAATGGCAGAAACTTTGTGTTATATTTTTCTGATCTCTCACTGCTAAGAACAATTCCTGCCAAATATCAGCAATCTAATACATGTTTATTCAATGAATGCATCAATCCATCAGTCAACCAACCAGTGAGATTTTTCAATCAGCACCCAGCTCGATAGCAAGGATTGTGAGTCCAATCAAGGGCCCACATGGTTAGGACGAGAAAGCCTGGCAACAGGCCCAAGGTCTCCCACTCCCCACGCCTCTCAGAGGACAGAGCTGAGCCTCACAGTACTTGGGAAACTGAGAAGCTGCTATTTCAGCGTGGGGCCGCCCTCTGAGGGTTTCCGTGGAAGGGACATTGAGGGTTGGGCTCCAGGGGACTTATGGGACTTCTGACCTCCGGTGTAAGGAACAACTCTGCGTGTCCCTGGTGGAAGAGGCCACAACAGACATGAGCCCGCCCAGATGGGAGGCAGCTCAGAGGGAGCCTGCGCCCCTGACCAGGAGAAACGCCAGCATGGAGCCAGCGCAGGGCACCGACCGAGGGCAGACACATCTGAGCCACAGCAGAGTGAACCATGTGCACACCCTCTGGGCCTGGCCGGGCGGGGGGTCCTGGGAAGCTTGCAACCCAGAAACCAGAAACCCAAAGTATTGCCTCAAAGCCACGAGTCGGAGGAGATGCCCCTGCTGGCAGCAGCTCTGTAATTTATGTTCTGCTGTGGTCTCCTGGGCCACTCAGAGTACAAATGGGTCCCCGGGGCCACTGTGATCAGGGACAGGAGGCCCATTTATGGAAGTGCAGAGGAGTCTGGGACCAGAGAGGCCTTCCCTGACCCACACTCGGCACCCAGGCTGGGCTCCAGGTCTCCTCATGCACTGCCCTGACCCGCAGCAGGAAGCCCCACCTCTGCCCCAGGGGCGGGACACCTTCCCTGGCTAACACAGAAGCTGGAGTCTCGAGACTGAGTAGACAGTGGCAACAGGACCTGGGCGGTGACAGTGCAGTCACTTGCCACCTCCCAAGCCGGTGAGACCCATGACCGACCTGCAGGGCCCTCTCCCGGGCTGGCTCAAGGTCATCATCTCCCATCTCAGAGAGGAGGGGTCGCAGCTCAGACATCCAGCACAGGGACCAGGGAGGCTGATGACCCTGCATTACCCATCCTCTTCCCAAATCAGGAAAGAAGGAAGCACTGCTGCCCTCTTTCCTGCTGGGAGTGAGGACCGCTCAGAAGTTGGCTGAACCAAAGAACACGGGGTCACTGGCTGGGTCAGGGCAGGGCAACTGCTGCGAGTTTGTGGGTAACATTATATGCAAAGTTCAGAAAACACCCAATTACTCTGTTGCAGTGATGCCAAAACTGCCGCAGTGCGGTCCCATCAAGCAAGATCAATGGTGTCTGGCGGCTCCCTCAGAGCAGGCTTTGCTGTCCTGCCTGCACCCCACCCACCTCCTCGGGCACTTGCCGAAGCAAGACTTCCGCCTGATGCTCCTTCCACAGTTCAGCCCAGGACATCGCCTACTCATCAGGAGTCCCAGTGCCAACCACACACCCCAGCCCTCCACTTCCAGGAGCCCAGCTGAGCACCGGGGCCGACCAGCTCCCGTCAGCAGAATCAGAACTCACTTGATCCAAAGAAGCCTACCTCTCTCTGCAGGGAAGGCTGGCCTGCTAACGCCACCATCCCCAGAAGCTACTGCACCAGCTACTGACACTGGGCTGGGGGGACACAGCGGGCGTCTGTGGGCCGGGGATACCTGTGACCTGTTCAGACCCAGACCTTGGAAACGTCAGGCCTGGGCAAGGACCGTCACATTCCAAAGAGGAAGCGGCTGGCTCTACAAAGGGCACGTGCTCACAACTCAACCTGATTCTGGGGACTAAAGCCTTGGCTGTGAAAGGCAAAATCACAGTACTGACAGGATGTTTTCACCCTCAGGACAGGAAGGCGTTCTCGAAGCAACACACACAGGAGCAGGCCACGAAGGGTAGGGTGAGTGTCTGCACCAACATGAGGGCCGAGAGCTTCTGCTCATCCACAGGCCTCAGGAGAGACAACTGCCTTAACAAGCTATTCGCAGTGATCTGATAATAACATTAACAAGCGTTCATGTTCAAAACTGTACAAACTTCCAGTGAATCAGTCAAGCATGCAGTAGGAAAATAACAAGATGCAAACAGGCACTTCACAGACAATGGAAATGGCCATAAATCCATGGACAGATACTCTTTTTTTTTTTAGTACCGGAGATTGAACTCGGGTCCTCGTGTTTGCAAGGCAGGCGGCAGAGCCACTGAGCTAAATCCCTGGCCCCAGATACACAATCTTATTAGTAACCTGGAGAAGAGAAATGTCCAAGAACAGGGAAAAATTAATGAGCAACATCTGTTCCCACCGACATCTAGAGTGGGGAAGTAGATGTGCTGAGAGCACAGACCAGCTCCCCACGAGGGCCGTGAGCATCGTGCACTGCGAATGTGGACCAGCGAACTCGAAACAGGTGGATCCTGAGACTCCAGTGCTACTGACTGAGGGAAATTACAGAAAAGAAAGGACAAGCAGGACCCCGCTTCGTTGCTGTGAACAGTGTGTGATGCGTGGTGCGCGGGGTCTCCCTGCTGTGCTGACCTCACTTCATGTGTTACACAGACCAGAGGTGGACGCCAGCTCATGTGGAGATCTGTTCTTGGCTTTGTGAGCGGCCACAGTGGCTGCACTGACTTCCTTCCTGAGCTGGGGGAGTCAGTGTCCTTCTCTCTCCATAAAGCTAGGGTAGGGGCACGCCATGGAATATTGCTCAGCCACAGAAAGAAGGAACTCCTATCCTTTGCAGCAAGATGGGTCCAACTGTAGGTCATCACATGAGAGAAACAAATCAGATGCAGAAAGCCAAACCCATGCGGGAGCTGAAGGAGCAGCGGAGTGTCCAGCGGAGAGTACTAGAGGCTGGAGGACCGCGGTGGCCATATAAGGGCTCCCAGACACAGCCAGGAAGAAGGCATACCTCTGGGGTTCCGAGAGCACAGCTCACAGTAAACTCTGATTTGTGTTATGAGTAACTGAAGGGCAGAGCCTGCCTGAGTCCCCCAGCATCCATCTGACAGGATGGAAACACGAATCACCCTGGTGTGATGAGTGCACAGGCACGTGAGTATTGAGTATCACCCTGCACCATAAATGTGCACAACACCACACAGTGAGGGGAAGGTGCCCCAGACAGAAACGCCCCTGACCTGACGTTACACACTGTACACATGTCCTGGACCCTCACGCTGTGCCCATCGAGATGCACAGCTTGTTATGACAAAGAGAAAGACAGAACAAGGAGACTGGGCGCACGGGGAACTTCTGGGTTTTCGCTGATGGGGGATTAAGAGAGTGGTACTTTGGGACAGGGAGTCACCGGAAACTCCCAATTCCAGTGTCCTGAAGGAAAGTCCCACGGGAACAGAGCCCCATCACCCCAGGACACGTTCCCATGTAGACACGGCCACCGTCCCCACGGTCCTGCATGCTGGTCAGAGGGGCTGCCCACCTCTGTCCTGGTGCCCCTCCCACCCAGAGCCTCCCTCAGGGGGAGAGCACAGGGACGCCCACTGCTACCGATGGCATGGGGTCCCCTTCTCCCCACGTCGGCCTTTGCAGAACAGTGGACTCAGGGCAAGGCTGGCGCTGGCCGCCGTGAGGGCTCCGGGACCAGGAGGCTGCCGCCAGCTGCATGGAGGTGAAGCGGGTGAAGTCTGGATGCCCCCTATTTACAGAGGGGAAACTGAGGCAGGGGAGGAAGGGACGTGACCTGTGTGGCTAAGCAGAGCAGTGGCTGCCCTGTGCCCTCACCTTTCACGCTGCACTGGTAGGTCTGGCTGACCACCCCGGTGTCGTTCTCCTTTTCCGCCGGCCACTGGTACACGTAGACCGTGGTTCTGGACGACCCCGCGTCCAGCACGACACCATACTGAGGGAAGAGGAGACAGTCAGCACAGGCGGGTGCCTGAGGATGCTGGAGAACCCGGAAGCCCTCAGACCCCGCCTCCCTTGGGTGGGCGACCATGAGGAGGACTCTGCCTCCAGACAGCTTGACAGGAGCTCAGGAGGGGCAGGAGAGCGGGTCAGTCCCCTGGGCTATCACGCCAGGGTCCTGAATGTGGCCGGGCAGCAGCAGGGTTTCAGTGCCCCCAGGAGATCCCAGCAAGTGTCCGGACCCCCATGGAAGCCTCAACCCGAGGACGGACTCTGGGTCTGGGCACCAGGGGGCCCTGTTTCCCAGACTTCTGCTTAGCTGGGGATCAGCACGTTCATGACGGCCGTACTGCGTGTGTCTCTGCCTGCCAGCTCGAACCAAGCAAGATACCTGCGTGACTGTCCATGCACAACTACACCTCTTCTACCGACAGGGTGCAGGCCCCTGTGGCACAGTCGTGCATGCACCGCGGGCAGGAACGTGTTAAGCAGAAGGAAGCTGCCGGGAGGCACTGCAGGATGTTCTCACGAGGAAGCCAAGTCAGTTCCTGAGTTACCCTCAGAGTTAAAGGGTTTGCCGGGCATGGGGGCACATAACAGGCATCCCTGCACTCGAGAGGCTGAGGCAAGAGTATTGCTACGAGTTCAAGGCCAGCCTGGACTACAGAGCTGCACTCTGTCTCAAAAAACAAAAAGAAAAAAACACACAAAAGCAAAACAGAAAGTAATCTTAAGAGAAAAGACACAAAGTACAGAGCCACGCTGACCCTGTTCCCACCCGGAATGTCTGAACAGCCATAGGCTGGCGGGCCGGGGGACTGGAGGCCTGGACTGTGCACCAGCCAGGGCAGCACGGGCGGCACAGGGGAGGGTGCATGAGGGACAGTCGGCAGACAGCAGGCCTGCTGGTCCAGAGAGGAGACTCTCGAGTCTGAGCTCACAGAAGGGAGGTGCTGGCTCCGCTCCCTCCTGTTAGCTGCCTTCTTAAGCAGGAGCTGCTATGCCAGGAGCAGAGGTGCTCAGCTCAGAGAGGCTAATTGGGCAAAATTGATCTACGCAGAACAGCGGGTGGGGAGCAGGGATGCAGTGCTGCCTGGAACACACATGGCCCTGATCCGACCCAGCACCCCAGGAGTGAAACAGGACATGGAGCAAACAGCTCTCCCTCAATCCAACCCCTCTCCCGCAGGGCATCCGTGTCCTCCGGTGTTCTGTGCATGTGGCTGCGTGCGTACACATGTTCCAATGGGACGCAGAATCGGTACGTCGTGTGTCTTCCGGTGCAGTGCCCTTTCCGAGCCAGACTTGCACACATCTCTCCCCATGGCAGAATGGGTGAGGTCACCGCTTCCCACAGTCCACGGGGCATGCAGAGGAGGCAGAGTGATTTATGCACCGAGATGCACCTTAACTACTGGATTCTAGGCAGCGGGAGGTTCTGGCTTCCTCCTGCACAGAGCTGTGAGTAAGTGGCAGAAGACTGCATGTGGAAAGCTCTCCACCCAGCCGCTGCCCCTCACACTGAACAGAAACTCCAGCACCCTGGGCCCGAGCCCGGCAACCCAGCCTCCACTGCTGTGTACGATCCGGATTGTGACTGACACCTCTGCGTGAAACAAGGGTGGCATTGTTCACTGCTGGCCCAGCCAGGGACCGCAGTGAGATTACAGCGCAGGATGAAACCGGAGGACGAGGAAGCCGGGCCGGGAGGTCCCAGCCTCCACCACACCTCCCTCCCTCTGGCCGGGCCGATCAACCGCTGCCTGCACCCCTCCCTGTGGTTCCTGGTGTTGCCTGGAGATGAGGGGGGCCCGAGACAGGACCCCACCCTCCCACCATCACCGAGGTCCCCACACCAGCTGATGTGAGGGCAAGGCCAGCCTCGGGGCTCAGCTCCAGCAGCCCCAGCACTGATCTGCCATGGGCATCCACAGCTCAGAAGGAGCCTGCACCCAGCCTTCAAAGTCAGCAGCCTAAATCAGAGGCCCTCGGTGTGGGGTGTCAGGCAAGGCGGAGAGAGTCCAAGTAACCCTGTCCGGGCGGGGTCGGAGAAGAGAACCTGAGCAGCACCCAACGTGGCGGACACCTATGCTCTACACTCTGTCAGCATCGCCACCTCCAGCCTGACACACAGGCCAGACCCAGGGCCAGGCCCGGTCGGAGCTGGACACCCAAGCCCAGGAGCCGAGTGGAGTGGACACCTGTCCAGCAGTGGGACTGCAGGCTCCTTTGTGTGCACAGCACCTCGGGCATGCGCTCTCAGTGCTGGCTGGAGGACCGAGCTGAGTGATCTGGACTTGACCATGCACCCAGCTCTGGCCCTCCCAGGGGCAGGGGGGCCGCAGCACCAGGAACCCAGGACCACGACGCCAGCCCTGGCCGGCCCACAGGCTGGGCCAAGAGAGTGAGCTGTGCCCCCTGGCCTCTGCCCTCAGCGGGGCACAGCCTGAAGCCCTGCAGCGTCTGCCTTCGGTGCACCTTCCACAGCAACACCACGTGGCAGCAGGGCCTGGGATGCCAAGACCTGGGGGCAGGGCCTCAGGAGGACACGGACTCCAGGATAATAACTAAGGATAATAGAAGTGATGGCCTGGGCTGGCTGCTGGACTGGCGGAGCAGGTCAGACCAGTAACACAGGACAGTGTGACCCCACCGACCCAGGTGAACAGTCGGCTCTTCCGCTCTGCATCCCAAAGGCCCTCCCGCAGGCTGGGGCTGCGCTGGCACCTGCTGCCCGTGCAGAGGGCACACGAGACAACAGAAAGCCTCCTCTGCTGAGCGGAGCTCTGCCCGTCAGGCACTCACTGAGCCACAGAAGAGGCGCTGTTGCCGAGGCATGTGCCGTGGTCTCTGGGCTCGACGCCCACTTATGTCTCACATGCAGGCCACCCTGGAGGCTGAGGGGTCCTGCCACAGAGAGAGGGCTGCCTCTGTTCCCTCTCCTGTGTGTCCTTCCCTGGCCGCCCCAAGGCCATGTGCTGCTCCCTCCTCCCTGCCCCTCCACCTGCACCGTGTGACCAGGTGCCCTGCTGTCCTTTCTGTTTTCGGTTTTCTCAGCTGCAAAGTGGGGATGACAGGGATACCAACAGGCGCCAGTCCTGCAGGGGACACAGGGACACACTTCCCAGGCCCTCCAAGGGGGCACCATGAGGTCCCAACTGGTTACTTCCCATCACCATGCCCTGGATGGTCAGGGTCCAATGCGGTCCATATCCTGGGCTGGACTGAGCCCTCTGTGGGGTCCTCCTGTGCCCTGGGTCAGTCAGGGCCTCATGGGCTTGAGCCAGGCTGAGGTGGGCGAGGGGCTGCTGTGCTGTGAAGGGTGCGGGACTGGACTGGACGGTCCACTCCACAGGCTGGGCAACGGCCGGACATGGCGGCACCAGCGCAGGAAGGCACTGCAGGGGCAGAGCAGTAGACAAACCTCTCGCCCTGTGGTGAGAGAACGGCGAGGCCAGGCCAGACAGAGCAGCTCACAGCTTCACCCACCCGAGACACTCAGGCCACACCGCATTTAGAAGTATTCGTCCTATCCATTAGCCCTAGCACACTGCAACTTTTCATTTATAAACTTTGATGTTTTTGAAGCTTTTTCACTCTATCGTACTAATACTTTAAAGTGCAAATGCAGGGTACAGCTATACAAAAGTATTTTCTTTCTGCTGGGAGGCTGAGGCAGAAGGATGGCGAGTTTGAGCCAGCCTGGGCCACTTAGTGACTTAGTGAGATCCTTACTGAAAATAAAAAGTTAAAAAGGGCTGGGGATGTAGCTCAGAACCCACAGCACACACGCAGCACACACGCAGGAGCAGCGTGACCATGTGCAGGTCACACACCACCTGCGACCTGTGCATGGTGGGCAGTGTGGTGGTGCTGCGGGCATGGCCACGCCAGTGTCCCGGGCACACCCAAACAGCAGCTGTGCTGTGGCCTCACCGTGATGCCGGCACAGGGTGCATGTGGACTTCAGCTCCTTCACAACTTGAGGACCAGCGTGCGCATCACTGGCCTTGTGGCGTGACCAGCTCAGCAGCTCATCCTCACTCTGCAACCTGACTCTCCTTGCTCACCAGCCTGTCCCGTCCCCGGTGCACCGGTGCTGGAGGAGGACGCACTCTCCTTCCACCCAGCCCCTCCGCATGGCCCCAGGGTCTGCGTGGGCACAGGTGGCACTGCGGCCTCCTCTCAGAGCCCTACAGGAGGTGACCACAGCCCTGGAGCACAGTGGCTACCAAAGGCTTGACAGTTGGTTAGTTGGTTTTGACCTGCCTGTCCCTTCCCGGAGAGCCCTGGCATGAGTGAAGACCAGGAGACCCAGGCTCCTCTTCCAGCCTAGCTGGTGGACAGAAGCAAGGTCTCGAGAAGGGCTGAATTGGTGCCACCTCTCTTGGGTCCTGTCCACGTACCCTGACCACTCTGATGCCTTCCTGCAAAACCTTCTCAGTCCCTGTGCTTGGTCCCGTTAAGTCTGTCCGCAGGAGACCCGGGACAGGGTTCCTGGTGGCTGAGAGCCCTGCATCCTCCCACTGTGGCTCCAAGGACACCCTGGGGTGGGGGAGGTCCCCGGAGAGACTGGCAGATGAGCAGGGAAGACAGAGGCATTTCTGGCATTTCGGTATCCACAGGTTTTTTCTGTAGAGGCCCCAACAGTATGTCTCAGGCTTCGGGCCCCTTTTGATCTTGCTGTGTATTGTCCTTTGGTTTCTGACTCATAAAGTGTACAAAGCCTTCTTAGCTGGGGAAGCCATAGGAGCCAGGAACTCGCCATGTCGTTTGAACCTCGGTTGGCACTGGCAGCCACCTGCAGTTCTCGGCTACCAGCTGTACCTTTCGCTACAGCCAGAAGTCAAAGCCTGACTGTGCGGTCCTTGGAGAAGGCCTCACCCATTGTAGCCCCAACGTCACCACCCAGCACATCCAGGCTTTCTCCTTGCTCCTCACCCTGCTTCCTCCCTCTCAGAGGGAGGCAGGGGAAGGATGTGCTCATCTCCCAGCTCACGGCTGGAGGGGCTGATGCCAGTCCTTCCTGCTTACCTTCAGGCCTGGAGGGATGAGCTCGGAGCGGTGGGTCTGGACAAGGGTGATGGCCGTGAGCACCACGGTGCTCAGGAGCAGGACCACCAAGGTGATGATAGCCGGGGTTCGGAAGAGGCTCTTGAGGCCTATGGAGGGAAGAGCGGAGGACAGAAGACCAGTGAGGAAAGCAGGAGGCGGGCCGGGCTCCTGGTGGGACCCACACACTGGGCCATGGTCGTGCACACATCTCCCGGCCTGGCCTTCAGAGACCCTGGATCTTACAGGGTAGTGGCAATGGCTTCAATACCCACCTACCCACCCCTGAAACTGCAGACTCTAACATTGTCTCAGCGAGGGCGTTTATGGCCTCTACTCTGGAATTTCTCAAAGCGTATATTATGCAAATGTTGGCCAGCCCGGGATATTTACGACAACATTTTAAAATGTAGATCTTAAAATCTGGGTTTTCTATTAAAGCAGATGATATAGTTTATTTTAAAATAATCTTAAGTTAAAAGAAATTAGTCCTGTGTAGAAATCAGTAAATGGAAGTGATTTTATTTCTGTCACAGTCTGTGCCAGAGAGCAGAACAAAGACTGCTGACGGTGGGGTGGGGACCTGTGGGGGGGGACAGCGGGGACGCTTTCTGCCTAATGGAAATGCCGTCATATTAATAGGACTGCGGGGCGTACACGGGTGTGCGTTTGTTAGAGTTCATCAAGCCTGTCAAGTCCTTTGGAGAAAACCTGAAAATCAAAGCAAACCAGCTTCTCAGTTTACCTTAAAAAAAGATTCTTACAGATTCCTCCACTATTCTAAAAGATACTTTCAGAAGTCAAGAATTCCCACCTTAGGGTTATGACTTAAGGTTCACCTACATCATGGCATATGCATTACATCTAATTTTTAAAAAAGACAGTCAATTAAAATATGGACCAAATAACAGCCTTGGTAGAACTATTAGGGAAAAAATGTAAATGGCAGCCAAAGGGCTGAAATACCACAAACACTTGCATAACAGAAAGACAGTAAATCCCAATGTGTCTCCTACCAATGGGCTGTTCAATGTAAATTGATTCCAGCTTACAAAGGCGCAGTTCCTCAACCTCTCTAGTCTCATCTCAATGTCTCCTGGTCCCGTGTTGGCCTGCGAGGCCGTGGCACACTTCCACACGGGCAGGTGCTCAAGGGATCAGCAGAACCTATGCTCTGCCCACCACTTCCTGGGCTTCCTGAAGGACCCAGGATCTGCAGGTGGCACACAGTGGGACGAGAGCCGCCCCCTCCAGCCCCATGGCCAGCTCTCTGCTGTGGAAGGGCAGTGGGGCTCAGGCCCAGGCCAGCCCAGTGACAGGGTGCAGCATGGCCACTTCCTGGCCCCCAGCACCGTCCTGAGCATCTCTGTTCTCGTTTGCTCCCAAGGAAGGCACCGTCTGACCTGAGACCCCACCTCCGAGGCCGCCCCTCTGTCCCTCTGCCCCCCACAACTCGCCTCCTGTGCACACTGCTCCTGCACAAGGCTCCTCACCGCGGAGTGCTTCGAAATAGTCCCTGCCACACAGCTGGCCACCGTGGCACTTACCGTCTGAGTGCCCCCACCTCTGTGGCCCCAAATCAGTGAAAGGAGCCAGGCAGGAACTAGTTACTTCACAGAGGAACTTTCTGGCTCCGACTTTCTGAGAATGCCTAGTCAGTGTCGGTGACAGAGGGCAGGGGACCTCCGCCCCAAACAGGTGTGGTAGAGCTGTCTTGCCAAGTTCATCTCGGCTTTCAGATGGAATGGACTCGATTCGTCGGCATGCGGGATGCCACCATATATGTTAAAGTTTGCACTGTTTTGGAGAAAAACTCGAAAATCAAAGTCAACCAGGTCCCTTTTCAAAAATAAAAACTCATTTAAGACTCAGAGGTTGTCCTTATTGCCTCCTCTTTGAAGTGGGGAGCTGGTTTTGGGTTGGAGCAGACCCTCCACCCCTGTTGGGAGCGTAGGATCGCCAGCCAGTCCTGACCGCAGGCGGAGCCCAAACCCTGGCTTCAGCAGTTTTCACCCAACGCCCGACCTGGCCGCCGGAAAACCCTGGCCTGAAGGAGGGCGCACTGCAGGGCGAGCCGCCCACGGGAACGCCGCCCTGCGGGGCGGAGC